TAGGGGCCCGTGAATTAAGCTAACAAGCTAACAGGAGAAATGGCAAAATTTTTATTAATATATACCTGCATGAGAGTTTACAGAAAAGAAGTGAAACTCAAAGAAGACTTGCGGTTAGACTTGGGGCCTTATATACCCTTTTGACAAAGGGAAGAGCGTTTGGGCTCCAATGGACAATAAATCATGGGGAAATGACTAGGAAACATATGTGAGGGGGGCAACTAATGGAAGATAAAGGCTATTTTGGTAAGATCTGATTATGCAACTCATCTTGGTGTTCACTTGGTGTTGGTCTTGAATTAGTCCCTGCTTTCAGGCAGATAAGGGGAGGGCAGAGAACTCTTCCTGCATCTGTGGATTCTCAGTTGCCATCAGGTCAAAACAATCCTTATGCCAAAGTGCCATACTTTGGAGTGGCATATTCTGATCCCCTTCACTGTCTTACTCTTCAACAGCCAGAACCAGAAATCTAGCAAGCCCCACAGTAGCAAAGTCTCCTTCTGCAGCCATTAAAAAACGTCACTCAGGGGCCAGGCCCATGGCCGAGTGGTTAAGTTCACGTGCTCCGCTTCGGCAGCCCAGGGTTTCACCGGTTTGGATCCTGGGTGTGGACATGGCACCACTCGTCAAGCCATGCTGAGGCGGCACCCCACATAGCAGAGCCAGAAGGACCTACAACTAGAATATACAACTCTGTACTGGGGGACTTTGAGGAGAAAAGAAGAAGAAAAAAAAGATTGGCAACAGATGTTAGCTCAGGTACCAATCTTTTTTTTTTAAGATTTTATTTTTTCTTTTTCTCCCCAAAGCCCCCCGGTACATAGTTGTGTATTTTTAGTTGTGGGTCCTTCCAGTTGTGGCATGTGGGATACCACCTCAGCATGGCTTGATGAGTGGTGCCATGTCAGCGCCCAGGATTCGAACCAGCGAAACCCTGGGCCACCAAAGTGGAGCACGTGAACTTAACCAGTCAGTCACGGGGCTGGCCCCCTCCAGTACCAATCTTTAAAAAAAAAAAACAAAAACTAAAGAAACTCCACTCAGTTCTAGCTCCCAGGGTGGTTCTCAGACCCAAATGAACCGCAGCACCTGGCCTATGTTCCTACATTCCCATCCCCTCAAGGCATGCGGGAAGGAAACTCAGAGAAGACACTCCTAGGCCAGGGAGGAAGCCACGAAAGAGGCAAGCTTCACACATAGCATGGGGACAGATGGAAACTAGACTTTTGGTAGTGAACACAATGCAGTCTATAGAAAAGTCAAAATATGATGTACACCTGAAATTTATATAGTTATAAACCAATATGACCTCAATAAAACAAATTTTAAAAAATTTTAAAATAAAAAGCAAAGCTGGACCTCAGGTGATTAAGATCCACTCCAATTCCCTGACAAGAGTCTATGCCTTTTGCAGGTCTTGGTGAGCCACACTGCCTTCTCTGAGAACTGCCCTTCACTAATAGGCCTGGGATCCTGTAATTACTTTGGTAGCAGGTGGATTGATGTTTCTTTTACCCAGCTGATAGGCCTGGGATGGACCCTCAAACCAGAAACACTGCTCTAGAACCTGTACACGGACAATAAGATTTTCTGTGAATTTGGAATTGGGATGGGAGATCACTTAGCTGAAGTCATGGGACCTGGAAGGTTATGCAGAAGTAGGTCTGCAGAAAGAATGAAGTAGATGGTCCAAGATGTCTAGGCCTTCAATAGATGGGGTTCAAGGTTGGTTGATGACTCATCAGTCCCAGCTTCCCCAAGGCCTGACTGAACTTCTTGGCACTGGGTTGCATGATATTCCCCTTTTACTACGTAATTCCAATGTTTCTGTTACTTGTAGTCGAAAGACCTTTGACTAAGACACTGACTTTCTTTGACTCCATCACTTGTCCAAGGTCCCTCAGGGCCTGAGCTCTGGCTTCCATCCTGGAGTTCAGACCTTGAATAGTGAATCTCCCATGGGCAGCCCCACCTAGAATTCAGCCCACAATTAGAAGGAGAACCAGTACCATCACTCACCACTGTTCCAGGGCAGCGAGAGAAATACATGGTACCCACAGATCCCCTTTCAGAAGTAATAATAGCTGCCATTTATTGAGTGTTCATCCTGTATCAGGCATTATGATAAGCGTTATAATTATTTCCAGTCCTCATAACAACCCTGACTAGTTTTAAATATTTTTACTGTTATCTAACTTAAATATACATGGATATCAAAACAAGCATAAATTCCTCATACTTACAAGCTTTTATAGAAATAAGAAGCCAAAAAATGGCCAACCAAAACCATTAAAATTGATATAAACAATAGTTGATATTGCTAATTAGTTTTTTGGCTTAAATTGCTGATGTACTTATTAAAAACAAAGCAAAACAAAAACTGTAACCCTTTAAGTTAGGTATTCCTATTGGCATCCCTGCTGTAGATGAGGAAACGGTGGCTCAGAGGGGTAAAGAATATTTCCCAAGGTCAAACAGCTGAGTGTTACAATCAACCAGGATAACTGAAGAATCCCAACCGCCCAATCTTGAGGCCCAGCTGCCAGAGTCCTGGGCTGCCCCTTCACTGAAATGGCAGCTCATGAATGGGCAGGGACAGGTCTTGAAAAATACTCCCAGTCTGGCACAGAGCAAGTGATTATTAAAGGTTTGTTGAATGAATGATTGAATGGGTCAATTTGAAGATAGTTGTTTATTTGTTTGTTTTTTGGTAAGAAGATTGTCCCTGAGCTAATACCTGTGCCAATCTTCCTCTATTTTTTGAATGTGGGATGCCGCCACAGCATAGCTTGATGAGCAGTGTGCAGGTCCGCACCCATGAACCGAAACCACCAACCCTGGGCCGCCAAAGCGGAGCACATGAACTTAACCACTATGCCACCAAGCCGGCCCCCCAAAGATAGTTGTTTAAAGACATCTGTACCACCCAAACCATGCAGAGGCCTGTAATTCAGCACTCTCCACTTACCACTGCTGCCAGCAACCCTTCCCATTTCATTACCCAGAACCTAGACTAATGGCATTAACCATCCCAGCCAGCCAGGATACCATTAAAAGCTTCAGGCCAGCCACTGTGGCCCCACCCTGGGTCTTGGCTCTGGGCCCTGGGCTGGGAGAGTGGTCTGGTTGTTTACCAGGAATTTGGACCTTCTTCAGAGAAAAGCACAGATGACCTATTAGTCTAATTCAAGCACTTAGAAGTAATGACTGTACCATTCACACCCCGAGCCGCAGGCTAATGGAACCAAAGCAAATGGAGAGGCCTTGACTGGTTCAGAGATCTTCCTGGGAGGGGAGGAAGGAGAAGGTCCACCCAGTGTCCCGCTGAAGTTTGCAGGGAGGCAGGTTGGCTGGGCATTTCCTGGGCCAGGGTGGCCAAGCGGATACAAGAATGTACAGGGATAGGCTTCCCTATTCCACCCATCGCTTTGGCAGCTCCTCTGCACATCCTACCCACAGTCACCTCCTCACTACCTTAAAACTTGGCTGGGAGAAGAATAGGAAGACAACCAAATATCCATCAATACAGAACTGGTTAATAAAATAAACTATGTATGTAGGAATAAGCATTCGTACAAGTCCATGTTATGCAGCTGATACAAAGAATGATGTAGCTCAAGTTCTACTCATGGATGCTGAAAGATGTCTGTGACTTACACTTTGACATACAGTGTCTGACTCCACTGACATAAAAGTATACATACCATAGATTCTCATGTGCACAGACGTGCAGGCAACAGTTTGGAAGTTTGAGAGTGAGATTTTAAAGATTTTTACTCTCCCCTTTATAATTATCTGTATCGTCCAAATTCTGTACAAAAACCTTATACCATAATTGCTACCTTTTTGAGTTCTTACTATGTGTCAGGCACAATGCTTTTACATGGATTATCTCATTTCTTTTGAGGTGGGCTCTATGCTTTTTCCATGTTGCATATGTGGATAATGAGGCCCAGAGAGGTTAAGCCCAAGGTCACATAGCTAGTGACTGACAAAGTCAAGTGTTCCTGGAGGATTAAATGAATTAATGCATGTACTTGCACACAGTAGGGGCAAAGTAGTACTTGGCACACAGGAGGTGCTCAATAAACGACGGTTATTATTACAATTATTGTACAGCATGCATCATTCTGCATTTTGTTTTTTAAAGATTTTATTTTTCCTTTTTGTCCCCAAAGCCCCCTGGTACATAGTTGTATAGTTTTAGTTGTGGGTCCTTCTAGTTGTGGCATGTGGGACGCCACCTCAGCATGGCCTGACGAGTGGTGCCATGTCTGCACCCAGGATCTGAACCGGCGAAACCCTGGGCCGCTGAAGCGGAGAGTGCGAACCCAACCGCTCAGCCACGGGGCCGGCCCCTGCATTTTTGTTGTTGTTGTTGTTGTTTTGTTTTTATTGACTATCTTGTCTATTCCTCTGTTCTGGTGTGTGAAAGACTTGAAAAACAAGATCTGAGTCTTCTTACCTCAGAATCTCCTGCACCTAGTGCAGTGCCTTGCAGAGCCAGCACTCGTCAGATGCTTATGGAAAGAATGAGTGAATGAATGGACAAATGTCCACAGCCTACATATTCTTCTAACTACTTTGCATGGATGGCTGTTTCCTTATCCTAACAGGATTGCAAATGAGATCAAGAACCAGTCTCCCCTTTCCTCTGGCCCCTATTATGGCCTGGAGCAGACCAATAACACAAGCAGATGCTCAATAAATGCTGTGGTTGACTAAGGACACTCCCCTCTCAGCTGCTGTGGCAGATCCCAGGCAGTATCCCAGAAATGGCTGGAGCTGGGACTGAAACCAGGTCTACAGCCACACCTAAGCTATTTTTGCTTCCAACTCCATGTCACACATACAGAAAGGCTAAGAGACTTGCCCAGGGTCACAGAGCAGTTGGTGGCAGGGTTGCTGTATCTCTTGATCACCTGGCCTGTGCTCTTTTGTGTGCAACAGCTCTGGTTCTATATAAATTCACAACGTGAGAAAATGGGAAAAGAGCAGCATAGTTTTAAGTCAAAATGTTTAATCATGATCCAAGAGGCTGAGGGGTACTTTGGGACAGTAGCAAGAAGAAAGCAAGGCCCAAATGCTCCAGCTCTTGATGCTCAAATGCTCTGCAGGATCCCAGGGCAGGGCAGGCAGCAGGTTCCCATCCCCCAATCATAGAAGGAGACAAGGCGGGCAGGAGTCTTGCTCCAGACTTCCTTACAATGGGGAATGTCTTTCTAGGCTGCCTCAGAAAACCCAGCCCTAGCTACCTGGAGAATGCAATAGAGAATGACTGATTTCTTAGAGCATGGGTGATCCTGGTGGGCAGGAGGAAGGGATCAGGAGAAAGCTCGGTAGAGCTGGTCACCACCAGAAGATATGAATAAACCGGGGCCACCAAGTCCTAAGGAGGGGCAGCCTGAGTCAGAAGCGGGGGGAATGAGAACTCAGCCAGTCAGCTTCTACTGTGGCCTCATCTGGAGTCAACTGGATGTACGGGATGGTGTCAGGGTTGCCACGTTGTTTACTGTGCCTCCTTCCTGATGCTCTCCTTTCCTTACCCCTTGTAGTATGCAGGTCAGGCTGGATGGGGAAGAGAGGAAGAGGGCCTCTGGGGAAGTCCAGCTACCAGAGGCTTGGGAGCAGAATCAAGGTAAGTGGGCAGGAAAGAAGAGAGGGCGCCCAGGGCTGTGGCCTCATAGCAAGGTTTTTATTCTGTGGAAGAAATGGAACGGAGTCAGCTCCACCCCCTTCACCACCTCAGCATCAGTCAAGGCCTGTCCCCCTCCCCTGAGGTGTCCATTAGAGTTCTATAGTATTCATGATCACAAGGGGGTCCATCCCTCCATCCCCTTGTCTGGGTTTCCCCAAGCTGGTCTGGTAAAGGCATGAGGGGTGTAACAAAGGGGGCCTTACCTGGTGTTGCATCACAGAAAAGGTAGAGTCTGCCCAGTCCTGGGAGAAGAGCTGGCTGTGAAAACGCATCTTAGCTGCAATGGCCTCCACTGAGGAGAGGAGAAGGTAGATTGGAAGCAGGCAGTTGTTGGAGGTTTCTCAGGCTCCCAGAGAAGGAAAGGGAGCTTCAGGAACTCTGGGATATAGGACGGTGAGCGGGCAGCAGTAGGAATAGGATATTGTCTCATTCTGCTTGCTTATTCCTTGAGCTGAATAGTATCCCTGGGGCCCAGACAGGTTGAATAAGCAGCTTGGGGGTCACTCAGGGAGTGGGAGAAGGAAGAAAGGCCAAGTCTGGGGGGAGGTAAGCCTATCCTGAGGAGGGAGCTGCTCTGCAGGAGACAGATGGAACCAGTGTGGACCACAGAGCTGACCCTTTTCCTCTCCCTGGGTTCAGCTGACCCAGCCGCAGGGGCTGGGAGGAGGTGGAGTGCACTCACTGAGGCAGGGGTTGTGAGAGAAGGACTCTTCTAGCCGCTCACACTCCTCCTGCAGGTTGCCACTGCCTCGGCAGGTGCAGCTTAAGGCAACAGTGGCGTTGACATTGCTGACAAAGTTGGGAGTCATGGAAGTCCCTGTTGGGTAAAGAGAGGATTGTCAGGGCCTATGCCAACCCCAACTTCAGCTCCTGGCCTCTCCCACTTGTCTCAGGACCACTGTATCTGGGTTCAGTCTCGAGAGCATTCTCACCCCCAGGGCTGGCCAGCCTGTGGGCTCCCTACACATGCCCCCAGCCTCACCAATCAGCCCTGTGTATGCTCGCAGACATCTGGATTGCTCTGTTGCACAGGTCCCTAGGATGTCCATGGGATGGCAGTGGGTCTGAAAATCTGCCAGGCGTGATCTGAAAGAAAGAAAATTTCAAGAGTCCTCATTGAAGCTCTGGCCTGCAGCCTTCACCCTTGCTGCCCCTTTGGTTGACATGCTCATCTTCATGCCAAGTCCTCCTGTGCTTTCAGAACCTGGCCTAGGGCTTCCTTCTCAGTGAAGCCTACTCCTGTCACAGTTAAATGCACTATCACCCCACTCCCCACAGCACACCACTCAGAATTTAGGCTCTACAATCCTTAGCTACAAGATCTCAGGCAGCTTCCTTAACCTCAGTTTCCTTGACTGTAAATAGAGATGAAAACAGCACTACCTCCTGGATTTTTGTGAGAATGAAATAAGAGAATGCACGTACAGCATTTAGCACAGTGCCTGTACTTACTAAAAGTTCAATACATGTTAGATATTATTATTAACACTCATCCTACAATAGGTAAAGCTGGTTATCTTCGGGTGATGGAATTATGAGTATGCTTTTCTATATACATTTCTGCAGTTTTCCTTACATTTTGCTTTGTGTTAGACTGGTCTTTTACTTCTCTATCACCCCCACTCAACTGTGCACTCCTTGAAGGAAGGGAAAGTATCTTAGTCAACTAGCCGAGCACTTGTTATGTAATAGTAATAGTAGGAGCTACCAGCACAATAATAGGCAGTAGAGCAGAGCGGTTAGGTACACAGACGCTAGGCCAGACTTCCTTCATTTCAAACCTCATTAACAAACCTGACTGACTACCCAGATGAACTTGAGCAAGTTATTTAACATTTCTCTGCTGTGGTTTCTTCATTTGTAAACTGAGGATGATAAAAAAATAAAAAATAGCATCTATCTTGCAGAGTTCTTGTGAGGTTTAGATGATTAATATGTGTTAAGTACTTAAAACAGTACCTAACCCATAGTAAGTACTCACTAAGTGTTAGTATTATAATTCTTGAGAGCTCTGACTATGCAATATTTTACAGAAGAGGAAAGTGGGACTCAGAGGTTAAGTAACTTGACCAAGGTTACAGAAAATTAAGTGGTAGAACCAGGTTGCAAAACAAGATTGGTGTGACTCCCATTGTCAACGAATATCACTTAAATGAATGATAACTTCAATTTGGAGAGTGTTTTGTCCCGAGAAGGCAGAGGAAAGCCAGATGAGAATTTTGCTGGAGAGTATGTATCAAACACCTTACAAATCCTCATGTCCTTTGATTTGGTAATAGCCCTTATAGCAACACACCCTCAGTAATAATTAGATTTGTGCACAAAGATTAATGAGCAAGAATGATACTTATTGCAGCATTATTTATAGCAATAAAGAAAGCAACCTAAATATCCAACAATAAAGGAATTAAATAAAGTATGGGGCATCCATAAAATGGAATATGACGAGGGCACTTAAAAATCAAGTTGTCAGGGGCCGGCCTTATGGCCGAGTGGTTAAGTTTGCGTACTCCGCTTCGGTGGTCCAGGGTTTCACCAGTTAGGATCCTGGATGTGGACATGGCACTGCTCATCAGGCCACGGTGAGGTGGCGTCCCACATAGCACAACCAGAGGCACTCACAACTAGAATCTACAACTATGTACTGGGGGGCTTTGGGGAGAAGAATAAAAAAAAAAAGAAGATTGGCAACAGTTGTTAGCTCAGGTGCCAATCTTTTAAAAAAAAAAAAATCAAGCTGTCAAAGGACTGTAAATGACAAAAAAGAAAAACCACCACCATTTATTGAGCACTTACTCTGCACTAGTAAGCTTAGCACTCTACATAAATTATGTAATTTAACTCTTGCCAGAATCCCATAAGATCTGCAATATGATCCAGTTTTTACAGAGGACTAAGTGCAACCTTAGGTTAAGTGATGAGCTCAAGGTCACACAAACCCAGTATTTAAATTCACATCTGTCTGACTTCAAAGCCTTCCTTCACCACTATTCCATATTGCCTACAATGGAAAATGCTCATAAGATATGCTCCATTAAGTGAAAAAAGCAAGATACAAACATATCCCCAAAATGCCAAATTTTCTTTGTATACAAAAGAGACTGGAAGGAAATACTCCCAAAAGTATGGTAGATTATCATCAGGTGATGGGCTTTGAGTGATATTTTTATACTTTCTGAAGTTTTTCCTCAAAGAAAAAAATATATATTCTTCTTGAGAAAAGTTTCAGAAAATATAGAAGGTAGCTATGTGGCAAAGTCCGTCCACAGTCCCTGGAGGGTCAGACCCAGCCCTGCACAGGAAGACGGCCTAGGAGTGGTACGCACCGCCCTGGCCCACCCTGCCCGCCCGCACCTGCAGCCGCACCTGCACAGTGGGTCGGAGAGGCAGAGGCGCCGCAGCTCCAGGCAGTTGGGGGCCCCTGACGGCAGCGCGCAGTTGGGGGCGATGGTGTTTCTTCGGCGCTGCCCACAGCCCTGATCGGTGGGCGCGCACGGGCACAGCAGCAAGCCTTGTGCGTGGGCCTCCGACGCCTTCTCGAAGAAGGAGCGGAGCTGCCCGAGGCAGGTGTGGCGCTGGCAGCGGGACCCCGAGCATGCCTCCCCATAGGCCTTCCGCAGCCGGTCACACTTGTCATTAAGAGTGCACAGCATGGCGAACTTGAGGCAGAGGTCCGAGTCTGGCGGGAGAGGGGCACCAAGTCACGAGTCCTCTCTGCAAACCTGCAGCCCAGCTTCCCTAGGAACCTCTGCAACCCTCCGATTTAACAAGATGGTAGTAGGAGAAAAGGGAAGACTACCCCATAAGGCCATTCCTAGTCCAGGGCTTTCCCTCTACCCACAAACTATCTGGGCATTCACGAGCCTCCCCCATCGCAGCATCCTACTCCTCAGCTTGACTAGGTTAAAAAAAAAAAAAAAAAAAAGCCATATACATCTAATACTCATTTATATAGAATTCAAGCAGCCAGAAAGCTCAAATAACCAAAATCCTTTCCTCAATCCTATGCAGTGAATGAGATCTCATGGTGGAAATCATGACCTAGAGGCCCCATAACATTCTAAAGCACTTTCTGAACTGTCCAAAACAGATGCAACAAATTCTATTTAGGATTTTTTTGTTTTGCGTCTGTCTATTCTGCTCAGTTTTTTGTTTTGTTTTGTTTTGTTTTTGAGGAAGATTAGCCCTGAGCTAACTACTGCCAATCTTCCTCTTTTTGCTGAGGAAGACTGACCCTGAGCTAACATCCACACCCATCTTCCTCTATTTTATACGTGGGACACATACGTGGCTTTATGCCAAGCGGTGCCATGTCCCCACCCGGGATCCGAACCTGTCGAACCCCAGGCTGCCGAGAAGCGCAACGTGCGAACTTAACTGCTGCGCCACTGGGCCGGCCCCCTATTCTGCTCAGTTTTAATGTCACCTGCCTGTCTTTCATTGATTGATGTATGCATAAAAGTTACCCATACTCTGAGTCTTAGGAAACTACTGTGATATTTCTATCAACAGAATATTCCAGCAATGGAGTAACTGGAACAAGTTATTCCCAGATTCCTTGTAACTAAGGGTTTGTTATGTATAAATCTTTATGCTTTTCTCTCAAAATTCTAATTCTAATATATAGAACAGACGGTACAACAAAACTCATGTCTTAAAAAGAGGGTGCCTGTGTGTGTTCCTTTCCAATTAACACAACAGCTTCACTTTCCTGAAAAACGTGCATCATTGTCCTTGCCAGACAGATGGCTCCCCACCCTGAGTCACCCCTCAGGAGTCATACTCTCTCGCCTCATTTTCCCTGACCAACACCTCGCCCATTCCATTACAATGGTTGAAAACAAGCAATTTCCTAGTCTTCAGGGACAAAAAAATATTTCCTGGCTGCCTCAAATGAAGATAAATACTCCATTTCAGCACATGTTTTTCTGGGACTGCTGCCACTCCCACCAAACCCTTTGTAGAGACCCACCTTTTGGAACTAGGGAGCCCTAATGGGCTCTCTTCGAATGCTTCCCTAATATCTATTGCTCTTTGTTGACTCTGGTGAGACCAGAGCATGCCCCACAGCTCAGACTCCCACCCTGACACGGTGCTTCCTTAGTTATCTGGCAGGTGAAGACTCTTCCCTGACAAGCACCCCAGCTTGGTCCCCTACCAGCCACCCTTTCTCTCAGGGTCTAGGCCCAGCCCCCACGTCCCAGCCTCGGCTTGCCGTCCACACCTGGTTTGAGCATGTTCAGTTTGCTGAGATTCATTTTCCAGGGTTTTCTGGTCACTGTGTCTTCATAGGGGGAGACATCCAACTCATAGTCACCTAGAGACAAGGTGGGGAGCACCAGAATCCTGAGGACTGGGCTGGCGGGGGAGGGAGCAGGAGGAGCTGAGGCTACTGAGCCAGACCTCAAGGCCCCGTGAAGAAAAGGAAAAGGCAGTCTCTACCTAACTAGCTGCAAGCTGTGCAGAGGTGAGAAAAAAAGAGGGCTGTAAATGCACATGCTGGGATCAATGAATAAACTGGGTTTAATGATAAGAATAATAAAGCTACCAGCTGTTGAGCACACTGTGTACTGGGCACTAAGGTAAAGGTGGAAAAATATATATATATCTATTTTTCAATCTCATTTAATCCTCCTAGAAGCCTTTGCGTAGGTGAAAAGAAACTGAGGATGAGAACGGTTAAGTTACTTGCTCAGGCTCACATACGCCAATAAGAAATGGAAACCTAGACTCTCTGATTGCAGAGTCTCTGCTCCTAACCCCTAGACATATTGCCTGTGGGTACATAAGCAGGCAAGGGGACTCTGTCTTGTTTTCTCTTGCTTTTGGGGAAGGCACAGTGGTGGACTCTGACCACTTGGCTATGGAGATGTATTGCATCCTAAGGAGATGAAAGTGAGGCCAGGTCCCGAACTGAACCTGACTGAGAAAAGCAGAGGAGGAAGAGACAATGCTATCAAAGGAAACACATCTCTCTCAGTCACCCACATGGGGCTGTGGGCTCCTTAAGGAGACTCCTAGGTCTTATATATATAAAATCACCACACAGCTCATACATGTGGTAGGTGCTCAATAAATGTTGGTTAATAAATCCTGTTGGAAGAGAGAGAGGTGAGCTTGCAGGTTTGTCACTCAATTAACTTTGTGAACGCATCCTGAGGAGGGAAGGAATATGGAAGATGTTCAGGAAACAGGAGAGGATGGTTTGGATACTTGGGAAGTCCTGGAGTTCCCAAGGGAAAAGAGGGAGGTGAGAGGATACAGGGAGAAGCCTCAGGGGAAGTTCTGAAAGAGAAGCGATTAGGACAAAGACTGGAAAGCAAGGAACAAGGAGTGTGGTAAATCGTATTACTGTTTCCAAGTATTTGCGGCTCACCCTGTGGGAGGATTATACACCTCCACCTGTTGCCATGTGACTTTCAGGCCCCCTAGGAGAGGAGTATACTTCCCCACCCCACTGTACGGCTAAGCCACTTTCTTTGGCCTGTGGATTGTGAGCAGAAGTGACATAAATCACATCTGAGCAGAAACTTTAAGAATGTTCAGATGGTTCTGCTGTTGTTCTCTTCCCTCTACCAGCCTGGATTCCCAAATGAATTAGACAGGTAGGGCAAAGACACAGCTGACTCTTGGAAGCCTGCAGCAGAGTGTAACATGAGCAAGAAACATATTTTTGTTGTTGAAAGTCAGATATTTAGGGGTTGGTCAGTTGTTACTGCAGCATAACCTAGCAAATTCTTATTAAAAATGCAATTGGTGTCTAGAAGTGGAGGGCTGCAGTGACCAAAAAAAATCGAAAATGTGCAGTACTGGCTTTGGTATTGGTCAGTGGATGGTGAATAAGCTGTTACTAGGGGCTGGAAAGAGAGCAGCTGCCATCATGCAGTGGCAAAGCACTTGGTAAAACTGTTGCCTGCAATAACTTGGAAGGAAGATGATATACTGAGTGAGCCTATGCTTTAACGGGAAGAAGCTGAGAAGCAAAAGGTTATTAGTATGTCTTGATTGCTACTGGCTACATTTGGCAAGGTACTACAAGAAAGACAGAAGCTCAGAGAAGAATTGGCCAGTTTGCAAACAGGGAGGAAAGAGAAAAGAGAGAATCCAGAAATTCCAGGACTCGTAGGATTAAGAAATGTAACTGGTTCTCATATTCAAATGGTAAAAGATAAAAGTGAAAAACGCTTTGAGTAATAAGGTCAATTACAACTCAGCCTTGGGGCAAAGACCAATTCAAGTATGTGGCTATCATGCCCTTTGTGGAGATCTCTCATTGATTAAGATGGTATCCCATAAATCCTGCCAGTTGGACAAATGTGCTCAGGGAAAAAAGACTAAGGTAGTGGCTCTTCCACAGAAGCCTGATAAGGGCAAGGTACTTCTAATTAGGTCTAGAAAGAGATGCATGTCTTGAAAAGGATTACAGGAAAGGCTACTGGCACACGAGGTGACAGAAATCAAAGATATAAAAAGGAATTATGCTTTAAGAAAGTTGTACTGCTAAGAGCCACCAGCCTGGATTTAAAAAGATTTTGACTATTTAAGGGGCTGGCCCCGTGGCCGAGTGGTTAAGTTTCCGCACTCCGCTTTGGTGGTCCAGGGTTTCGCTGGTTCGGATCCCAGGAGTGTACATGGCACTGCTCATCAGGCCATGTTGAGGTGGTGTCCCACATGCCACAACTAGAAGGACCCACAACTAAAATATACAACTATGTACTGGGGGAATTTGGGGAGAAAAAAAAAAAAAGACTTAAAATACCCCACTATTCCTCAGGTAGCAAGCAAACTGAGAATGCTGCTTAGTCCCCAAGGAGGCTGTAGTCTCCAATGCCCTTTTCAGATGTGGCCAAAGAAAATAAAGGAAAAGGAAGGACCTCCCAGAGGGCTGGGCCAAGAGCCCTAGAAAACAATGGATAGAGTAACTCTCCCATGGAAAGGTCTTACTGAAGAGCAATCTCTTACACCCAAGGGAGATGGCCCTTGCAACATTTGTGTAGCAGGACTTCAGAATTACTGTAAATCGGTGTCTGCTGTGTGCCTCCCGTTCCTCCCCTTTCTAACCAAGAAGATTTGTTGTGGTTCTCCTGTCCCTGTTTCATTATTGTATATTGAGTGTGTATGGTGGACAGATGACGGTTTCTAGATGAACAGGAGCCACATCCAGACCTGATATAAAAATTATCATGATGGGGCCGGCCCCACGGTGTAGTGGGTTAAGTTTGCATGCTCTGCTTCAGCGGCCCGGGTTTTGCAGGTTCAGATCCCAAGCATGGACTTAGCACTGCTCATCAAGCCATGCCGTGGTAGCATCCCACAGAAAGTAGAAGAGGACTGGCATGGATGTTGCTCAGCGACAACCTCCTTCAAGCAAAAAGAGGAGGATCAGCAACGGATGTTAACTCAGAGCCAATCTTCCTCTCTCTCTCACACACACACACACAAAATTATCATGAGATCCTAGACTTGGAGCCTGATGTGATGTTTGGATAGAACTCTTAGGGCATCTTCCACGGAATGTGGGTAGGTATATTTTGCTTGAGGAAGGCAAGGAAATGAATGTTTTGATCAAGCGGTAGACGATGGTAGATTGTATTATTGTTTCCAATTATTTTGCCCTCCCTGTAAGACTACCTATCCTCACTTATTGCCACCTGATTTTCAATGTCTCCCTGTGGGATGAGCATATACTTCCCCACCCCAGTGATGTCAGGCTTGGCCATGTGATTTGCCTTGTCAATTAAAATGTGAGCAGAAGTATTTTATGTAACGTCTGAGCAGAAGCTTTTAAAGCCATCACATAGTTCTGTCATTGCTCATTTCTCTCTGCCATGAGAAGGGAACACCCCACATAGAGGCTGTACCTTCAGCCTGGATTGCAGAATGAAGAGAACACATGAAACAGCCAACATGGAACATGAGCAAGAACTAAACTTTGTCTTGCAAGTCACTGTTTTATTACTGCAGCATAGTTTGGTAAAAGCTGACTAATACAGAGCGGGGTCTCTGGAAAGAGTCAGAGGAAGCTCCTCTCTTTGACTCTCCAGTGACTTCCCTCTCTTAGCATCTCCTGTTTGGTTAATGAGTCTCCTTTCTATTAAAGGCTGGACCAGGATGCTGCCTCTCAGTCTCTCTGAACTTAGGGATTACATTGTATTTGGAGCATATTTATGTGTTAAAACCATTTTCCTCCACCTCCTTTCCATACCCTTCTGTTCCAGGAGCTCCCCAGGCTGGGCCTCAGCCTGGCTCAGAGCTCTACCATGAGGCAGCTACATGTAGCCTAGTAAGAAAGAAGGAAGTAAGGAGAAGAGAGGGCAGTATTATAGGAGCCTAAAAGGATACTGCCAATTCCTCCCTCCACTTCTTGCTGATGTCAAATGCAGAGTTTCATTATCATCCCGTCAGAATCTACCATGTGGCCCTTATGCTGAAGGACTGAAAAACAACCCCCAAAAGACATCTTCTCTAGCTTAATCCACTCTAGGATTGGGGCCTCACCAATGCTGCGGGCAGGGTGAACGGTCCAGTAGATGTCCAGGCAGGCAGCTTGGTTCTTCATGCGCCGGTGGCATGTGCAGCTCATCAGAGAGCTATTCCTGAGGTGCTGTGCTACCTCCACACAGTCTACAGGGACGAAAGGCTCCTCTGCGGGTGATGCGGTGTTTATACTAGAGATGCAGGAATTCAGGTGGTGGTAGGTAGCATTGCAAGTGGGATTGGCCTGGCACTTCCTCCTGGCCTGGATACAGTTGATCATTAGCCGACCCTCTGTGGGGAGGGGATCCCCTGTGGGGGAATAGAGACCAGGTGAGGCTCACAGAAGGTCAGAGGAGCTGGCTGGGAGAACAAAGTTGTAAGGTAGGGTGGGGGGATTCCAGATGAAACTTTGGGCAGAAAACTCTTGGGATGGCACAAAGGCCTTTAGGAATAAGTGGGGAGAAGGAAGTCCAGCAGGAGCAGAGAGTCTGCAGCTGTCACAATCTGGACAGAACAGATCAAGCCCAAGAAGAGGTGGGGATTTGAAGAGAGGCTGCTCGGCCAACTGGAAGTGGAAGGGGGACAGTTGTTTGAAGCTGAACCTGATGACCCTGCCAGGCACAGGGAAGAGTGCCCTGGGCAGAGCTATGCCATGGGCAGGGCTAGCGTCATAACCAGAGAGTTGAGAATGTGCATGGGGTTGCAAATGAGTTAGCAACAACTTTGAGTCTTCCATTAAAAGTCACTTAAAAATACCTTTTGGTGAGAACTGGTTGGGGTTGGGGTGAGGAGCTTTTGTTGATTCTGTCACTCAGGAACACCAACGTTAGTTATAGCTTGGCCCTGAAGGAAGGCCCTGCATCCTAAAACTTAGGGTCACTGTTAAGGGGTGAAAGAACATCATCATCCCCCTGGTTTTTCAAGGCAAAACATATAGGAGTCATTCTTAATTCTTCTGTTTCCTTCATATTCTACAGTCAGTCCAACAAGTCCTGTCAACTCCACAAAATATCTAAAATCTGTCTACTTCTCTCCACATCTATCACTACCTCCTTAACTCAAGCCACCGTCAACTCTTGTCTCAACTATAGTCAAAACTCCTTATTGGTCTCCCTGATTCCATTTTCCAAATTCCTTCTCCCATACCATTCAGCCATCTTTTTTTCCAGCTTTATTGAGATATAATTGACATATAACATTGTGTAAGTTTTAGGTATACAATGTGATGATTTGATACACATATATATTGTGAAATGATTACCACAATAAGATTAGTTAACATATCCTTCACCTCACATAATTAGTATTTTATTGTTATTGCAGCCATCTTTTTTAATACATTTTTTCAGGTTGGAAAACATTTCTATTGAGGTAAAATTCATGCAGCATAAAACTAACCAACTTAAAAGGTACAATTAAATGGCATTTAGTACAGGCACAGTTTTGTAGAACCATCACTTCTATCTAATTCCAATATATTTTCATCACTACAAAAGGAAACCTGTAACCATTGAATAGTCATTCTCCATTCTCCCTAGTCTCTGGCAACCACTAATCTGCTTTCTGTCTCTACAGATTTACCTATTCCAGATAGTTCACGTAAATGGAATCATAAAATATGTGATCTCTTATATCTAGTTTCTTTTACCTAACACACTTTTTTCAGGTTTATCCACATTGTAGTATTGCATCAGTACGTCATTCTTTCTTATGCATGAATAATATTTCATTGTTAAGGACATACTGCATTTTGTTTATCTATATATCAGCTGATGGACATTTGGGTTGCTTCCACCTTTTGGTTATTGTGAATAGTGCTGCAGTGAACAGACATGTACAAGTATTTGCTTGAATACTTGTATTCAGTTCTTTTGGGTGTATACCTAAGAGTGGAATTGCTGGGTCATATAGTAATTCTACATTTAACTTTTTGAGGAACAGCCAAATTGTTTTCCACAGTGGCTGCACCATTTTACATTCCCACTAGCAATGTGCTAGGGTTCCGATTTCTCCACATACTTGCCAACTCTTGTTATTTTGGGGGGTTTTTATTTTCTTTTTTTTATATAGACATCTCATGGGTATAAAGTGGTATCTCATTGTGGTTTTCATTTTCATTTCCCTAGTAACTAGTGATGTTGAGCATATTTTCATATGCTTCTCAGCCATTTGTATATTATGTTTGGTAATAAACTTTTTATTGAAGTATAACATACAGAAAAATGGACAAATCAAAAATGTACAGTTCAATGAATTTCAAAGAGAGCACACCTATGTAACCAGACCCCAGATAAAGGACTAGAACGTTACCAGCCCCCCAGAAGCTCTCTGCCAGTCACCATCCCCCCAAGGAAACCAGTACTTTAATTTCTAACATTAGAGATTAGTTTTGCCTGTTTTTCAATCATACAACATGTGCTTTTGGTATCTTGACTTCTTTGATCAATATTATTTTTATGAAATTCACTCACACTGCTAAGTACAGTTGTAAACAACTTATTTTTGTTGCTATACAGCATTCCACTGTGTGAATATAATTCTAGTGCTGATTGGCATTATATGAGATTATCTCTTAAAAACTGTAAATAAGATCATCTCATTTCTCTGCTTAAATCCCTCCAACAGCTTCCACTGCACTTAGCTGAGATCTAGTTTATATTCCCTGGTTACCTTGTAAGACCTGGTCCCTGCCCTGCTCTCTAACCTCCTCCTAGCTCTCTGTCTCCCACTTTCCGCATGCCACACTGGCCTTCTTTCTGGTTGCCACTGAACAAATATATGCCCGCCTTAGCGTTTTTGCCCTAGCCTTTCTTTCTGTTTTGGAATGCTCTTCCCCCAGATCTTCACACGGCTGGCCCCTTCTGGTAAGTCAGTTTGCAACTTAAATGTCATCTCAAAAAGGCCATCCCCAACCAACCAATGTAAAATAGCCCCCTAGCTACTCTAACACATTGTTACTCCAATTCTCTGCATAGCACTTATCACGACTTATTTTTTGACTTGATTTTTTATTGATTATCTCCCCCTCTAGACTTCCACGTCTATCTTACTACTCTGTCGCCAGTGCCAAGAACAGTGCCTATTATTTGTAAGCTCCCACTATTTAAGAAATAACCAGATAACAGAGACATTCTGTGAGTCACCTCTGTAACTTCTCTGGGTCCCTTCCCTCTACTTACAATCAGAGTCCCCAAATTAGGAGGGGCCTCAGGGTTTAGTTAGTCCAACCTCCTCTTCTAATCATATGATAATCAATTAGATTACTTATTAAAATTCAGATGTCAGAACCCCATCCCAGAACTACTGGATCAGAATCTCTGGTGATAAAGCCTGGGAATCTGAATTTTAGCAAGTTAGCTAAAGTTTGAGAATTAGTGCCATATTCAATGCATAAATAAAGACAGGCTCAGTAGCACTGATTTTTGCTTTTGCTTCAGTTCCAAAATGCCTCAGCATAGCATTGTTACTCTTTATTTAAAAGTTTGATATTTTGTTCATCAAGGATTTTGGGGGGCATTAATTTTGATTTTTAAAAATATTGCATTAAAATATTCTTTACCTTGACTACTGAGTTTCTTGGCACCCCCTTCTGTCACCTCACCTTAGTCCTAGCCCTGCCTGGGACAATTTACTTCACTTTCTGGACCTTTTCCAAATGTAAGATGAGGAGATTGGATTAAACCAGAGTTTCTCAATGGAGGGGATGGGGAAGAGAGAGGTTAGGTCCCTTTTGGGGGTATATTAGAATTTCCAAAGGGAATGTGTGGTTCAAAAAAGCGTATTTGATAATTTTATATGTGGAAGATGAAAACGAAAGCTTTTGAAATTTCAAAAAACATTTAAGGAACATATGAGATTTTTATCTTTACCAAAGGGAGAAATGGATTTAAACAGTTTGAGAAATAGTAAGTGTTTAAGATGTTACTTCTGGTAGGGACCCAATAAGCGCTTTCTGAAAAAAATGTTGCAGGTCCACGTCTCATTGCTTTAACTGGACTAAATATTGAGTCATAACAATTTTCAAAAGGAAACCTCTCTAATTTCTTAGCTGATAGTTCACAAAATTTGAGTGGTGGATTTAGGGGCATTTGCATCTCCACAAAAGAAGGTGGGAGCCTTGTTAAATTTCATCATAATAGGGTGGAACTTGTTCCCTTAAATTGGTTAAGGTGTCCACATTGGAGGAAAAGGTGTTTAATGTTTACCCCCAATCCTGACATGCAGCCATACCTAGGGTTAGTGAAATTTCCTGGGCAGTCAAATCAGATTAATGATGTCTTGATGCCCTGATTTACTGATGGAGTCAGTCTGGACAGACCAGTCCTTTCCTTCCTTCTTTCCATATCTGTCTCACAGCTAAGATTGGATTTCTGTAGTACTACCTTGTGGACCGAGGTCATAGGGTCAATGTGTGGTCACTGCCTCAGGATTCCCTCCAGTCAGGCTCCAGGCAGGAGCCCCATACCTGAAGAGGGGTTTGTTGGTGGTGAGCAATATTCGCACAATACAACCAAATAATAACGTTGGCAAATTGTGAGCAGCAGTTTACAACCCTAATTTGTGACAAGTCAGTTTTAACAAAAAACTTCTCTTTCTTACTCTGTACCTAGTGACCACTTCCCCAGTCCTTACAAGGGGAGGAAGAGTTGAACTCCCTGTCGAGCAAATGGCAGTCCTGCTTCTGATTCTTCCTACCTCCTAAAGATGCTGTCCTTGTAGTAGCCTGGCTGCAGTTGTTTTGTGACTGTGCTGAGGCACCTCAAAACACAGAAGAGGGGGCACCGAGGACGAGGAGATGCTTGGGTGACCTGACCATTGCTGGTACTCAATCTACAACAGTTCAGACACTGCTCTAGGCAAGAAACCCAGCCCCTTCCTGGCACCCTGGGCTTCCTCCTCCAGTTGCCCAGGCTAGGACAGAAAGGACGCCCGGGACCAGGCAGCATGCGGTGTCTGAGCCCTCTCAGGACAGCGGGGACCCAGGCCCCGCCTTCCCGCTCCCCTCCCCCGCGCCTCCCCGAAGCCCTGGCCGGAGCGGGCTTCGGGCTTCGTGTATGCACAGACGACACTCACCGGCTCCGAGGGGCACCGGCAGCGGCAGCAGCAGCAGCAGCAGCAGCAAGAGCACGGGCGGCGGCGAGCACGGGCTCGGGGGGCGCGCCATGACGGGGTGCAGACGCCCGGTGGCCGCCCCCGGGGGCGCTCTGCCTGCGCGGGCGCCGCGCTCCCCTCGCTCCTGAGGCTGGAGCTCTGCGAGTGGGGCTCTTCGGCCGGCGCCTCCCACAGCCGCCTCCCGCCCCTCCTCGCAGCGCGACGCCCACACTCTCCCACCAGGGTCCTGGGCGCCGCCCTCCAACTCCGAAGCTGACGGACGCGCCACGCCGCTGCCTCTACTGGACCGAGCAAGCGGCGGGGGTGGGGGCGAGGGAGGGCAGGCGCCCCGGGAGCGCTTACCCTAGCCGGCCCACCTGCCGTCTGCTGCCAACTTCGTTTAGAGGAGGAATTCTTCGCAAGACATTGTGGAAGCTGCCGCTGAAGACTCGCCATCTCGAGGGTCCAGATATTTATCCAAAAAAGCATTCCTTTTCACTTTCTGGAACTCCCTCCCCACCACCCCCAACAGTCACCGCAAATGAAATCTTGTAACAAAATTCGAACCAGCACAAGGGCACTTGCATTTCTAGTATCTTTTCTTTTAGAATTTGCACATGTATGATTTCATTTCCCCCATAAGTATCTTCAAGGGTAAGATTCAGTTGTCATTAACCCCAATATTCTGCCAAGATGGGTGCCAGACAGGTGAAATAGCTTTGCTGGGAGCAGATCTGGGGCAGATCCCGGGACCGTTGCCAGACTAGACTCCAAAATTCAGCCCCTTCTGTGTTATCAGGGAGGAAAAAGGATTAAACTTCCCTCAGACTAAATAGCAGAGATTTCCCTGGACGAAAAAAAAGATCATTGAGGAAGGTGGCTGGAGAGACCATTTAGGGGCCTCATCATTTTCAGATGATGTTTCAGAGGGCAAGCTACTCTACCAAGATCTCTCGCTAGATAGAAACACAGCTGTGCCCAGAACCCAGGATTTCTACCCATAAGGATAAGGATATTTGTTGGGCCCAGGGCAGATTCCCACCTGGTCCGAGGGTAAAGATACAGGCAGAATGTCTTGGAAGAATGGGAACTAACCAGTACTTAGAGAAGAGAGTGATGAACGGAAATGCAGGGTTTCTTCCCCTAACCCTCCAACCAAGCCCTCTCCTTACCTCCACAGCCGGCCTGGCAGAAGGCCAGGAGGGAGGGTATCGAGAAGCTCAATATAAACCTGTAAGATTTATTGGCTGCTGCTTCTGAATATGGCCATCCTGCTGTGGCCTCTGGGGGGCATTTGCCGATGTAATCAGCCCAGAAAGAGAGTCATTCCAGCCAGGGGTGTAAATCACCCTTCACAAAAGCTAGGAGAGAGACATGTGGCCCTAGATAAGGAAGGAGACTGATGTGGCCTCTGTGCCCTTTCCTCCCTTCTCCTGCCCAGGGGGAGCTGGTTCCTGAGCTGTAATGCACTTTAAATGGAGTTTGTGCTTCATTTTAATCTATATTTGCCCTGCCAGTCTTATAGGAGAGCTGGGAAAGTGAACATCTGGGTACTCAGCTTTTGTACAGGGCCTGTTTCCCCCCAGCTCCACCCTACCTCTATGTACCTTTCCCAAGCCCTCTCCTCCAGTAAAGTTAGGAAACCTGTACCGGGGGAGCTGATAGCCCCCCCTTTCCACTTCACTCTGGCAATAGTTTCAAAACAGAATTTACAAAGAGAACAGTAACAATTTCAGGTGGTTGGGATGCTAGGAAAGGGCTGAGACCTATGAATCAACAAAGACAGGGGGTAGTCAAGGGGTGTCACCTCTGCTTTCCTCCTCCTTCAGCAACCAAGCCAAATCAAGTTCGGGGTAGGAGGTAGGTTGGGAAAAGGCACTTTCTCAGGGTGCCTACTCAGAGTATCTACTCAATGCTATCCCCATGGAATGGACCAGGAAGGCAGGAACAAAGTCAAACTGATGGGCTAAGAGCAATGCCCAATTCCACCTGTAAGAGGTCAGCCTTATTGTGAGAGTAAATGAGATGCTTGGAGCATATTTCTGTCTGGGTACTGCAGTGGAGAGCCTGACATCATTGGGCCTTTAATGAGGATTGGTAACTAAGGCTAGGGGAGGGTTGGGGAAACCTCTGCAAATAAATATGACTCCAAGACTAATATTGACAGCTCCTCCAGCACCCCCTCTCCCCACCAACCATGTTCTCTGCGACTGCCAACACCTGCTAGATAAGCAGCATTGCCGCTGGGAACCTGGTGGATAATGACAAATGAGCCAGTCCCTTCTACAAAGATGATGTTACTCAGCCATCGTTCAATTCAATATGTCTTTTGAGACTGATTATGGGTCCAGCTTTGTGCCAGGTGCAAAAATGATTAAGACACAAACCCTGTCCTGGGAGGGCCTTGCAGTCCACTGATTGGGGCTCAAAGGTCCAAAGGTCCTGTATCTTACTCCACTTTCATTTGTAATCTTGGTTTTCTGCCTTCTATCAAGAACCTCTTTCACTGTTGAGCTTTAATTCCTGCTGCTATCCTAGCTAATCTCAGAGTATTAGCAGTATAGTGAATAATAGTTAAGAGCACAAGCTTGGGGGCTGGCCACGTGGCCAAGTTCGCATGCTCCGCTTCGGCGGCCCAGGGTTTTGCCGGTTCGGATCCTGGGCGCAGACATGGCACCCTCATCAGGCCATGCTGAGGCGGCATCCCACATGCCACAATTAGAAGGACCCACAACTAAAAATACGCAACCATGTACCGGGGGGCTTTGGGAAGAAAAAGGAAAAATAAAATCTTTAAAAAAAAAAAAACAGAGCACAAGCTTTACAGACTGCCTGGATTCAAATGCTATTTCCAACACGTGCTGGGTGACCTTAAGCACGTCACTTAACTTTCCTGTGCTTCAGTTTCCTCATCTGTAAAATAACAACAGTAGCTACTTCATATAACAGTTGTGAGGATTAGACACATTTAAATTGAGTAATGGGTTTAGCATAGTGCCTGGCACATAACAAGCACTGAATAAATGCTACCCCAGGTGGCATGCAGGAGTTAACTATTCTGTGAACTTAGCCAGCCCCCCACACCTGACCTGCTGCTTTGGAGCTGGAAGCTACAGTACTTCCTCCTTTGGCTGAATATACTAGCGGGCCAGAGTGTTTGTAAGGATGGGAACGAAGAGAATTATTTTCTACCTTTTCAGTTTCTTGAGGGCAGGGACTGTCACATCTGAATATCTGTGGTACTTAGGAGTGACAACCCTAGATATATGTTTAAAGGCATTGGTGTTTCCCTAACATTCTGCCTTAACTAAATGGGGAAAGAAAATCCTCCATGCCTCCCAATTTATACTCCTGATAAGGAAAGGGAAATGCTCCTCCCCTCTCTGTAGCAGAGGTCAGCCAGCTCCTAGGCTGAGATTGACAACCAGAAGCAGTTTTCAGTCCAAAAGATTTCCATTCTTTATTACTTGACTTCATGATGGACAAATACCAGTCAGAGCAAGGACACCGGTGCAGAGCTAACCCCCTAAGACGGCCTTGTGCCGAGGTTCTGAGCTAGGGTCTTAGTGTCTGCCCTCAGCCTCATTTCCCAAACCCAAGCAACCCTATGACCTGGATTTCTCAAGAACCTACAATTGAGGCTCTTACATATTTAACACCTAATACAGTGCTAACTTAGGAAGACACATTGTTCATTGATGAGGATTTGGTAACAACAAAATTCATTAAGGAGCCATACTGCCTGGGTAAAAATCCAATTCCACCATTCATTAGCTGTGTGATCTTAAACAAGTCACTTAATCCCTCTGTTCCTCAATTTCTTTATCTGTAAAACATGCATAAAAATGACTACCTGCCTCATAGGATTGTTGTAAAAATTAGTTTATATATATAAAATGAGTTCATAAAAAGTTTTGTATGCAGTAAGCAGCTGAAAAGTGTTAGCTACTGTTGGTATTGTTCCTTAAAATAACATGAATCAAATCACACGGTACCTATATAGTTGGAGAACATTAAAAGAAATCATATGGGAAAATGTTGCCCTTTAGGCAAATACAACTTTTCACAAAGTAGATAACTAAGTAAGTTCTAGTTTTTTGTTTTGTAACTCAGAATTTCCACTTAACTGAGATAATTGAAATGTGAACACATGTGCACCAATCTCTTCCCAGCTGGGTCCTTGGTTCTACCTTTCTGGGGAAAATTATCAGGAAATGACCCAATAGGGAAGGCAGTAAGTCGGGGAGCCCTCCTCACACTTGGAAGTGGAGGTGCTTCAAGCAGTTTCCTCCTCACACTAACTAGAGTTCCTTCTTGGGGGTCGGGCAGTGTGTGTGTGGGGGGGGGGGGGCGCTGGGACAGAGGAGCAGCATCTTTCCCTTGGCCATCCCCACCTAGTGTAGCAGCAGCTTTTCTCTCCCTTTTGCCCCCAGCCCTTCTGAGCTCTGAGCTCAAGGGCTCAGGGAGAAGGCCAGAGAGGTAGCTTCCCTCTGGACAGACAGGCATGAGCTAGGAGAGCTATGACCGGAGGCGGTAGGCTTCAGTGGCTGGCTTAGAGAATACAGCAGTGCCCTCTGCTGTGAAGCATGCATGTGGCACTCCAGGAGCAGAGCACTTGCAAACCGTGCAAAATCAGAGCAGCTACTGCCCTCCTTCCCTCCTGCTCACTTGTAAAAATTCTCTCTGCTCCAGAACCCAGCAAGATGTCATTTTTGTCTCTATTCTATCTCAGTCTGGGCTTCAGAGCCCTTGGTCCTTTTCTGGTCCTGTGCTATGACTACTACTAGGATAATACCAGAGAATGACAATGTTCAATCAATTCCACTGCCACCTAGACCAAGTATGGCTGTATCTTACTATGCTGACAGAGCCTACTCGCCTTAAAGAGCTCTAAGAAAGGAAACCCTGAGCTATTGTTGAAGACTGCAGTTCACAAAGTCTCCCTTAAGTCCAACTGATCTTGCTTGGTACTTTTATATTCTTTGATTCCTGTCTTCACATAGCACAAATCTCTACTTCCAAGCATCCTAAATCCTAAACTTGTCTTTGTGAGATGTGAAATGGAGTGGGGAAGAGTCTGGGAAATGGGAAAAGTTAAAATCCCATTGAGACTGTAGATAAGGAACCTTCTGATCTCAACTCAGACCTATCAGCCGCCTTAGAGAATGTCAATCATTGTGGTTTTCTGAGCCTAGATACCAGAGTGCTGAGTCTGGGGCACACTTTCAGCTAACTCATACCACGGAATGATCTAGGAAAGGAAAGCCTGAAATATTGCTGAAAAATGCAGGTTAAAAGGTTTTCCTTAACTCCAGAGCAGTGGTTCTCAAGCATTGGTGTGCATCAGAATCACCTGAAAGGGAGATTACTAAACCCCAAATTTCTAGGCCCTAACCTCAGAGGTTCTTATTTAGTAGGTCTGGGGTGGGGCTCAAAAATTTGCATTTCAAACAAGTTCAGATGATGCTGATGGTCCAGGGCCCAAACTTTGAGAACCACTGGTCTAGAGAAAAGCATCATGGCCTCAGCTCTGAACAGAGATGGTTACACCTTTATGTCTGAAGGAGACTGACCTTATACAGATCTTCTAGGGGCAGACTGGGCTCACAATCACATCCCTCATTCTGCAATGTTTATTTTCCCATTTAAGAAAAAGAGAGAAAGGGAAACAAAGAAGGAAAATACAAAGATGGACAACTCTCTTGCATAGCCAGAAGCACAGGGAGAGAAAGAGCTGGCTGGCTTGTGAGAAGATATGAGTAGTTGGGAAGAGAATGCAACTGCTTCCTGAAGCAACACAAATATGTATGCAACCCAAGGCTACAGCCTTATAGAGCCAGCTCCAGGACTTAACCACAAGCCAGCAGCTTTACTGAAACCTAACCAATCGCCAGGCCTGGGATTCCATTAGTTTGGCAGCCTGTTGATTTGCAGACATCTTTTAACAATCTTGGGTTAATACATAGAAGATAGCCTCTTTCTGCTCAGAGTTTCTACAGTGTCTTTTGACGACTCCCAGGCAGCCAGGGGCTGACCCGTTATCATGGGCTCACGTCTTTCACCAGCAAGGCAATCTGCTCCTGCAGCTGCCGCTCCCCTTCCCATGCTTTGTTCTGGCTCCGACACCTCAGCAGCTCAGCCTTATGGTCCTGGTGATGCATAGGGCAGTAGCTCTGTGGTTCACATAGCTCCTGAAAGGTAAAGGACAGAGTAAGGGATCCTCTAGACTCCTGAACTCTGCCTACTAAGTATAATAAGGAGGCTAAGAAGGAGCAGCAGTTTTTTTTCAGAGGGATTTGCACACCCTGGGAGTTGCATGTTAACGTTGGCTCCCCCAAGTCTGAGTTCCCCTGTTGCCCCACATGCCCTTTCCTTTACCATATATTCTGGAAAGAAATCTCTGTAGCCCCCTTTGAGGATATATAGCTCTGGGTAGTACAATGCAGGATACCGGTTCAGAGCCCTGTCCTCTTCTCTCAGAGAGCGGCACCTTTAGAGAAGATCCAGAGATGGGTGGGGTAGAAAGAAGCAAGGTTAGGATTTCATTGGCCATTTACTGGGGATGGGGAGAAAGACTAGACTATTGCTAACTCCAAAAAGGACCTCCAGATCTCACTATTCTTGCAAAACAGGTTCAAGTAGCACACTTTCTCCTTTCCTCCATTGATGGCTCATTCTCAATCCTTTTTTCTTCACTGCTCCACATTTTTAAATTGTAGAAACCCTTTCCTTCCACCTCCCTAACATTCTTCAAACTGCAGTAGAAAGCATTTGTTCATTTCAGTCTCTGTCTGAACTGCTCTGGGAAGGTTCCCTGGTTGTAAGTCTCAACTCAAGATCCATTTCCACCACCCGCCCTACCCCATGTAGACACTCACATTCGGGGACCCCTCTCTGAGGAGAATTCACAGTGGAACACGATGATTATTCTTTTCTGGGTGTCCAAAGGGACAACGGGCTTCTTCAGAAAGAAGTTATACAGTTCTTCCTGACTGTACAAGTTTAAGGCTCCCTGTAGAAGAATTTTAGTAAGTACTTCCTTAAGGGCCTGTGGACAGTTCCAAAACTTAGAAATAACTGGGATACCATCTTGGGATGTTTGGGCCAGGAAGGCTAGACTAAAAGCACTTTCAGGGCAGAGACCTAATTATATCTCTCTATCTACCCCCAGGGCCTAGCGTAGAGCTTGGTATGTAGTAGTGCTTGATAGATGTTTGTAGAACTGAACCACCCTAAAGTGTGGAAATCATTGTGAGGAATGTCTATGAGCAGTAAGTGTTTGCAAAGTGTTTCTCAGTCCTTGGGTTAATGCTTTTATTTCCAGGTAGGAGCCCTTGGCTCCTATAGAAAAAAGGGAGATTGGTCTAGGAAGGAAAGAGAAAGTAAATTGTTCAAGATGTACAGAATTGGAACAGGAATGAGGACTTCAGCCTTGATGTACTCCAAATGTATAATCTATGCCCTGGTTTTAGAGTTCATAAATAGAAAGCTATTTCCAGCTCCTCCCTACTAATGACCCCAATGTAACCTCACCTGGATGTGTCCTCCCAGGTACTCATATGGATAGCGGCAATCAATGATATAAAACTTCTCAATCAGACCCTGGAACTTCCCCGACAGCAAGGCAGCCACCTGCACAGAAACTGTGATTGAATACCCTGCCCACTGTCACTCCGAGGGAGAGAAGAGCCAGTCACACAGTTTCTTATTTGCACTCCCTTTAGTCACCCAGGACTCCACTGTATTCCCAACCTCCAAAGTCCTCCTGTGTTTGAAATGTGGCAATGGCTCAACTCCACTCCACATAAGAGGATGAAATAGAAAATGGCCTTTTTGGAGAACCAAAATAGCTGGTATTGCCAGGACACCAGGGAAAACCATATTCAGGCTACTCATCTGGAGGCAGGCATGGCTGCAATCAGCCTCTCAGAAGACACCCAAGGGGCCCAGGTAGCAGCTACAGAAGCCAATTTTGCATGAAGAAATGGGAGATGGTTCCCCACCCTCCACTGTAAAGGAAGAAAGCAAGTCTTTCAGAAAAGGATATGGAAGGAAAGGGTTAATACCCAGAGGAGGAAACTTAAGCTACTTGTAGGAGTGTAAATTGGTTTAACCTTTCTGGAGGAAACTTTGTGAATACATATAAAAATAAATATAGTTACACTTTGACTCAGCAATTTCTTTTCTAACATCTTAAGTAAACAGGAAAGTACACAAAGATGTGGCACAATAATATTCATCTCAGCATTGTTTTAGGTTATGAAAATATTACAAATAAATATTCAATAATAGGGGTTTGGTTAAATAAATTATACATGTCAGTATAATAGAATATTACATAGCCATTAAAAGGATAATACAGATATCTTTTTATTGATATAGAAAGATGTTTACAATGTCTCACTAAGCTAATTGCAACACTACATGTTCATTATGATCCTATTTTTATAAAACATACGCCAGAATAAAATGTGGAAGGCCATAGGAAAATATTACTAGTTGTTATCTCTGGTGGCAAGATTATGGGTAGGGTGACTAAATAATTATTGCACAAACCAGGACACTTTTGAGAATGAAAGACAACACTATTAATAATTACCCTGCATTAATAGGCATAAAAGGGATTATAACATGTAAACCAGGATGTAAGGTCACCCAAATTGGGTGATTTTTCCTTTCTTTTCTTTCTTTCCTTTTCTTTCTTTCTTTCATAACAATTATATATCATTTGTTTCATTAAAAACAAAAGTGACAGAAGAATGGGATAAAAGGGAGTCCTTTAATCCAGCTTCAGCTGAATGAGGAGCCCATGTGAGTAAACACAGTGACAGAAATACAAATGAAAGTGGGGATTTTAGGGACAGAATAGACCAGATGGTAGCTTACGTAACCAGTTACCATCTCCAGAAATCTGCTTACTGTTTCTGGGTTGACGTACTTCAGATCTTGGTGTCTCCCTGACACGGTTGGCAGCACACATACCTAGAAATACCCAACAGCTGAAATAACAGCAAGTTTTCTATACCCAGATTTGAGATCAAAGACCCATATATCATCCTTCTTTCCAAATGACCTTTAAAATCCCAGATGCCTTCAAAAATCAATGGTGTCTATAATATGCATATGCAGCAGTTCTAAGAACTGATTCTAAGGGACTAATTAAGGATGTGTACAAAGTTTTAGATTTAGCTACAAATATGTCTATCTTGGTATAGTTCACAAAAGAAAACTGTAAAAGTAAATATCCTATGAGAAGGGACTCATCAAGAAATTATGGGCAGCCAAAAAAATGAAATACTATGCTATTTAAAAATGATGAAATGATGAAACAGAACTGTTCATTGACATGAAAAGATGTTCCTGATACATCAAATGAGGAAAAAACCCCCAGTGGATCACAAAACTATAAACCATTTTTTTGTGGAAAAACAAAAAATATATCTGTGTATGTGTGTTTGTGAAAAGACAGAGAAAAAAGTCTGGAGGAATATATACCAAGACGTTAAAAGTAATAATACTGTGGTTGATACCCTTTGGGGTAGATTTCATTTTCTACCTTTTCTGTAATCACCAAGAATTATTTACATAATTTTAAAAGATATTTTTAAAAAGAAAAAAGTAAGGAGCCAGCCCAGTGGCATAGCAGTTAGGCTCATGTGCTCCGCTTCAGCGGCCCAGGGTTTGCCGGTTCAGGTCTCGGGCACGGACTTACCCACTGCTTATCAAGCCATGCTGTGGCAGGTGTCCCAGATATAAAATAAAGGAAGATGGGCACAGATGTTAGCTCAGGGCCAGTCTTCCTCAGCAAAAAGAGGAGGATTTGCGGCAGATGTTAGCTCAGGGCTGATCTTCCTCAAAAAAAAAAAAGATAAAGAAAAAAGTAAAAAGCCTCACACTTTCCTCACTGCTCTAGATTTTCCCAGAATGAACAAGGAATACTTTAGCATCTGAAAGTCTTAGGGCCTAGATCTACCACCACGCACCTTCAGGATATCAAAGAGTACTTAGTGAGGATGCATAATTATACCTAGTGTCTTCTGCAAGCAGAGAAGAAAAGATTCAGATCCAAAATGACTCACCGAAATATAGAATGGATGTAACCAAACTCACCTTGGAGAAATCACCAATCAGATGCCCCTGGTTAGAATCTTCCTCCAACATGTGAGTGATATTAACGTCACAGAGAGAGACTGTCTTCTTTAGACCTAAGCCCTGAAGATGACAAGATTCCTCTCACCCCCAATCCTCATGTTAAAGGTTTAAAAACCAGGGGATGGAAGGAGTGGAGACTCATTAAAAATATGCATACCCTTTGATCTAATAATTCCACTTGTTTTCCTAAGGAGATAAAGATATGCACAAAGATTTGGCTGTAAGGATGGATATCTCAGCATGTTTATAATATAGGAAAATTACTAATAAATTAAATATTCAATAACAGGCTCGTGGTTAAACAAATCATATTTGACATATTATGGATTAGTATTATACCATAAAAAGTATATAGTAGGTTAATTTCATTAACATGAAAATAAGTTTATAATATCATTAAGTAGGTTACAAAATACGTACTTTATAATACTACTTTAATAAGAGAAAAAAATATTTGCATAGAAAAGTTTTTTGGGGGCCAGCCCTGTGGCCTAATGGCTAAGCTTGGCACACTCTGCTTTGGTGGCCTGGGTTCGGTTCCTGGGTGCAGACCCACAGCACTTGTCAGCAGCCATGCTGTGGTGGTGACCCACATATAAAATAGAAGAAGACTGGCATGGATGTTAGCTCAGGGCAAATCTTCCTCAGCAAAAAAAAAAAAAAAGTGTCTGGAAGAAAATACATCAAGTGTTAACAGTAATTATCTCTGGCCTGTGAGATTATGGGTATTTTGCAACTGCTTCTTTTTGCTTATTTGCTTTTTCTATACTGTCATATACTGATTTTATAAAATAGTCAAATATATTTAGATTTTTTTTTTAAGTAGGGGTGGGGGTTGAGGGCTAAGTTTTTCAGAGGTTGTAATCCACGAAACCAGTGTGCTCTATGATGCTGTTTCCAACAGAATGCAGGTAAAAACAGCAGTAAGTATCCTTACCAACCTAAGTTCCTTGTATTCTCTCAGATCTTAAAAAAAAGAGGGCTGGGAAGACAGCATGACAACGTCATTTCCAAAGAATAATATAACATAGATATTTATTGATAAATATTTTACATATGGATGCAGATGTAGAAAAGGGAAAAAGAAAGATGGAAAGAATAAAGAGATAAAGTAAAAGTAGGGGCTGGCCCGGTGGTGTAGCAGTTAAGTTTGTGCACTCTGCTTTGGCAGCCTGGGGTTCACGGGTTTGGATCGCAGGCACCAACCTGCACACCACTTGTCAAGCCATGCTGTGGCAGGTGTCCCACATATAAAGTAGAGGAAGATGGCATGGATGTTAGCTCAGGGCCAGTCTTCCTCAGCAAAAAAGAGGAGGATTGGCAGCAGATGTTAGCTCAATCTTCCTCAAAAAAAAAAAGTAAAAGTAATGAGGAAGAAGACAAAAAGGATATACTAAAGCAATCTCCATACTAGAAAAGTAGAGAAGACAATGAAATAAAAGATTAAACAGATTTTCATCTTAAAAAGTTCTTACCTTCCTGAGCTCTCTGTGGCTAGAACAATACTTCTTCTTTACTTTATCTGGTATTGGGTTGTCCTTGAATTTTACCACCTGCTTCAGTATTGGCCTGTTCAAATTCTCTGGCAATGAAGGAGAGCGATACAGCCTGCTTCTGTTCAGAGATGCCTGTTTGGGAATATCAAACCCCTAGGTTCTTACTCCTCAAAGTATGTCTGTAGCCCAGCAGCATGAAATCTCCTGGGAGCCTGTTAGAAATGCAGAATCCCAGGGGCTGGCTGGATGGTGCAGCAGTTAAGTTCGCACGTTCCGCTTTGGCGGCCTGGGGCTCGCCGGTTCAGATCCCGGGTGCGGACATGGCACCGCTTGGCAAGGCATGCTGTGGCAGGTGTCCCACGTATAAAGTAGAGGAAGATGGGCACAGATGTTAGCTCAGGGCCAGTCTTCCTCAGCAAAAAGAGGAGAATTGGCAGCAGATGTTAGCTCAGGGCTAATCTTCCTCAAAAAAAAAAAGAAATGTAGAATCCCAGATGTTAGGCCTCATCCCAGACCTACTGAATTAAAAATCTGCATTTTAACAAGATGCCCAGGTGATTTCCAGAAACACTCAAGTTTGAGAAGCAATCCCCTAGGTAAGCAACCTGTCTTCCCCTCCTTATTAACATTTTTCTCCTCAGACTGCATGTTCCATCTCCCCTAGATGTTTTAACTCTAGCCAAACCAAATTCTCCAGCTAACTGTCTTATGTGTACCAATTCTGGTAGGAGAAAGCAAACACAAGCTAAGTTCCTCCAGTCATGTGATAAAAAACAAACCCAAGTCCAATTTCTCTATAGGATCCTAAGACACTGACAACAAGATTTAAGGACCCCGACAAAACCAGTCCACATTTTATATAATCAATATTCTACACTTCCTAGGATCCCTGCCAGTTATCTCCCTATGTCTAAACTGCCCTGCTGCAAGCCACTAAGGACTGGACCACATTGCTGGTTGAGCACACCTATTTAGTGGCCTAGAACATGTAAAAATAATCTGGGTCCATCAGGCTCCCTCTTCTGGGATTCTAACTTGGAAAATGGAGAAACAATTAGGCAGCAGCAGATGCCAATGCTTAAAAGGAAGAAGCCAAGAGATAAAGTAAAGGCCATGAGGCCAACGATGAATGGATAGATGAACCAAAGCTATGGCAGGAGAGGACACATAGTAAAGGATTCAGGAGCAGGCTACCCAGCCTCCGTGACAGACTTCCCTTCCTATAATTTCAATTTTCCCCTGAGAAGAAGGGCAGGGGAGAGGCAGATCAGGATTTCAAATTTGCTGGCCTTGGTGCAATCTTTGTTTATTCTAACCAAAAGAGGGTCTCTAGAACACGGTGTAGGGGCCGGTCCAGTGGTTTAGTGGTTAAGTTCCCCTGCTGTGCTTTAGCAGCTGAGGGTTTGCGGGTTTGGATCCTGGGTGTGGACCTACACACTGCTCATCAAGCCATGATGTGGCGACGTCCCACATACAAAATAGAGGAAGATTGGCACAGACACTAGCTCAGGGTCCATCTTCCTCACTGAAAAAAAAAAAAGAAACATACCGTAATTGTTAAGCTAAGGGCTTATTTTAAAGAGTTTGGAATTAATTAGCTACTAAGTGAAATATATCCATTTTTTTTAGTGTTATATCTAAGAAATCTTTGCCTAACCCAAGGTCACAAAAATTTTCTCCTGTTTTTTTCTTCAGATGTTTTACAGTTTTAGGTTTTACATTTAGGTCTATGATCCATTTTGTGCTAACTTCTACATATGGTGTGAGGGATGCATTGAGGTTTTTGTTTTTGTTTTTCATATGGATTTCCAATTGCTCCAGCACAATTTGTTGAAAAGACAAACTTTTCAACATGCAACTGCCTTTGTATCTTGGTCTAATTATCAGTTGACCATATATGCATGGGTCTGTTTCTTGAATCTCTATTCTGTTGCACTGACGCTTTAGAGTTTTGGTAGCTATTATGATGGTGACAATGAAGGTGATAAACATCTTTTCGGGTTTCATATAGTCCAAGGATAAGAAGCCAGAAATAAATGATAGTAGGAAACTACTTTAACAAACAGACACAGCCACTACTGTTCTGACACACTCTTTCCAATACATTTACATGAAAACAAAGGGAAACATCGCAAACAGGGTCATGGAGGGATGATGATGATGATACTTTAGCTTTGTCTAGTTAGCTGGAAGTTTCCCAGTTCCTAGAAGCTGGTGTAGGGAGACACTAGGACCAGCTGGGATAGATCACACTGGAAATCAATCTATTATTGGTTTTCTTTTGTTGTTGTTGTTGTTGCTGTTGTTGTTTTTTGTTTTTGTTTTGAGGAAGATTAGCCCTCAGCTAACTACTGCCAATCCTCCTCTTTTTGCTGAGGAAGCCTGGCTCTGAGCTAACATCTGTGCCCATCTTCCTCTAGTTTATACGTGGGATGCCTACCACAGCATGGCTGCCAAGCAGTGCCATGTCCGCACCCGGGATCCGAACCAGCGAACCCCGGGCCGCTGAGAAGCAGAACGTGCGAACTTAACCGCTGCACCACCGGGCCGGCCCCCTTGGTTTTCATTTTTTAAGGAATCGTTGGCCTTTCCAAATCTGGGGGTTTTAAGCTCTGAAAAGGCCAGAAAGAAGAAAAGGAAACTTGCTAAGCTTGATTCTACCTGCAAATTTATAAAAGGTTTAATTGAATAATTGAATTATTATTTTGTAAACTAAGGAGGCATCACCATTTCCTCATAGCCTATACACTCATAGGCCTGGCTTCTGTCTGCACTACTCTACTGCTCTTGTCAACAATCTTCATGTTGCCACATGTTGCTTCCACCGAGTTGGCTACTCCCTTCTTCTTTGGCTTCAACAGCACCTCCTAGCTTTTTTCAGTTCAGCTCTAGGGTAGGCGACCCCTATACTAAAAGAACTGTGATGCTTCTCTCTCTCTCTTGCTCCTTCTTAGTCTTCTTTGTCTGGCCTCTTCGCCTACCAAACCTCTAATAGATGTTGGATTCATCAAGGCTAGGTCCTGGTCCTTTTCTCTTTTATCTCCTCACTCTTGCCATAGGTGATTTTTTTTTCTACCCATGAATTAAAATTTTCTCTCTATGCTGATAACTCTCAAATTTCAATCTCCATTCTTCAAGACCTCTGCTCTTACTTCTAACCATCTGTATACACATATCTGCTTAACGCTTTTTGAGTACCTACTAGGTGACATAGCAGTGAAAGAGAGTGAAAGAGACAGACAAACAAACAAACATACTCTGTACTTCACAACTAGAGTGACCAACTCATCCCAATTTGTCCGGGACTTTCCTAGTTTTGGCATTAAAAGTCCCATATTCTAGGAACTTCCTCAGTTGCAGGCAAACCAGGACAGTTCATCAACCAGTTCTCAACTAAATATCTTCTGTTTGAGGAGGCCTTTCCTAATTACCCCCATTTAAAAGTTCCCTTCTATTAGTCTCTATCTCGGCCCCCATTTTGTTTCTATCATTACACGTGGACAATTTGCAATAGTTAAATTATTTTGTCTGTTATGGCAGTCATTTGCAATTTGGCTACCAAGCATCCTATTTTAGTAAAATCTCAAATTAGATGGGAGGCAGCCCTACCTTCCAATAAAGAGGCCAAAGGGGGAAGATACTCCCTTTTCCATTCTCTTATAGCCAACTAGATATTCCTGCCTGATTTTTGAACCATGAGGAGTAACACAAAAGCATGGTATTGGTTGAGACATTTTTATGCATCAGAGTAGAGAATATAGTAGGTGACAGCAAATGTCCCTGAGCAGCAGAGTCCAGCAGCAGGTCAGATTATGTTCTGTGGCAGGGTGCCAGTAACGGTGGCACTGAGTGTCCAGCCAGCAAGTGGTAGCATCCCAAGCACAATGTTCCTACAGAACTTCGGCCAGGCCTTACCTTGTTTTCTGGCCTTCCTGGTAATTCTGAGTTCCCCAGTACCCTCCAGAAAATCCCTTTTCTACTTGAGGTAACTAGAATCAGTTTCTGTTATTTGCAACCAAGAACTCTAACTAGACCATCTATTAACTTGATAAACATGGGTGATTTTTTGTTCTCTGATGTCTCCCTGACAAGAATTTAAACTCCAAGAGAGCATAAATCTAGTCTGTTTTGTTCCCATTGTATCACCAGTGCCTAGCACATTACCTGACAGTTAACAGGTACTCAATAAATATTTTTTAAATGAATGAATTAGAAATCACTAAGGTTATACCAATCTCCAAGGAGTTCACTGCCTTACACGGTACCTACTTTCATTTAGCATCAAAAAGGCAAACCAATAACAAAAATCCCCACCATTTTTCTAATCTAAAACCTACTGCTATGCATACTCTTATACAGAGGACTCACAACTGAAAATGATCTTATGAGTCACAATCCAAGAAAATGAGCCCATAAAGGGATTTAATATAAAGACTAACAAAATAAATACCTAACAGCCATATGCTGTTCTTCCATGTAAACATACAAAACTTTCAGAGTATTTCCTGGCGTCAGTCTATTTTAAATCCACTCTCCTATACCATCTATATGACACAATTCAGAACATATCTGAGACTATGAAAGACCTTCAATCAGCATAGATTCAATTATGTTCACTGTACTGTACTTATAATTTCACAAAAGCATATTAACACACCATAGACAAATTTCCACCAATAAAATTTAAAATAAAAGGATTTTCTTTTTAATCAACATTAAATTCAACTTACTAAATAACACTGGTTGAGATTTGACCATATTAACTGCAACACTTTGCAAATTAAATACGAAGACTAACTAAAATATATTTGTAAAAGCAACACTAAATGTTTATTTTACATTGTTCTTTTTTTTTCAGAAGGCCTAGCAAACTTTTCTCTATGCTAACTATCCCTAACTTGCTGTTTTTCCACAAATCTACTCTCCATTATCAGCAAGTCATCAGAAATGTTTGTTTCAGGAAGGTCACTGTCAATTCTCCCAATACACATCCTGCTCCTTTCACATTATATCTTGGTTCTGTTGTTTTCCCACAAACCAACGAAATTAAAACAAAACAAAATTTAATACTATGTTATAGAACAGTAGCTCTCAAACTTTAATGTGCATCAAAATCACCTGGAGGGATTGTTAAAGCACAGATCATTGGGTCCCAGCCCCAGAGGTTCTGATTCAGAAGGTCTGGGGAGGGCCCATAAATCTGCATTGAGAAGAAGTTCCTACCTCTTACAGCTACCGCTACGCCAGGGACCATACTTTATAGAGGGTTCTAGATCTGCACGACCCACTATAGTAACACTAGCCGCAGGTGGGTATTTGCATTAATTAAAACTAAAAAAAATTAAAAATTCAGCTCCTCAGTTGTACTAGCCACAATTCAAGTGCTCAATAGCCAGCCACATGTGGTGAGTGGCTATTGTATTGGACAGATATAAAAAAACATTTCCATCATCTCAGAAAGTTTTACTGAACAGCATTGTTCTAGATAATTGATTCACCATCCTTCTTAACACTTTAGTTCATTCAAACACAGGGTATTCAACTTTACCGATCTTACACAAAAAGCGACTAACACTATTATATGTCCCTAGGATGACTTTTACTTCCCAGATATCTTCAGCAGGAAACACCATAATATTGCTAAAAACATAGGCTCTGGAGTCAGGCAGATCTTAGTTTAAATACCGGCTCTGCCACTTGCTAACTTTATGACCTTGGGTAAGAGACTGTACCTCATGGCCTAATGTTCTCCTCTTAAAGAGAGATAATCTTTCAGGACTGATACGAGAATTAAATGTGATGATGGATGTAAACTGCTCAGCACACGGTGCCTGGTACATTCTAAGTAGTCAATAAATGGGAGCTATTATTATTACCTGGCTTTCATTTTTCCTTTCCACTCTAGCCCATTACTACCCTCAACATTAAAGTCCATGCTACTTCTCTACACTCGTACAAAGTTCACTGACAATCCATGGAGAGTGTGACTTCTCAACTCCTCAAATATTTACACCAAGCTTCTCCTGCATTCCACATTAACCTCTCAACAAACTGAGATGAAAAAAAATCTGCAACCATCCTCTATCACTCCGTCACCAAGAATTCAAATGTGACATGTTCTCAAATTGATTAAAATCTCCCCTGATTCTCACAACTTTCTACACCAGTTCCTTTCTATCTCGTCAGCAATTTTCAATCACATGACTGTTTTTACTTTACTGAGTCTACGCAATGACATTTGGCTCCTGATCCAGGCTTTGGTTCATCATCATCTACTTCTCTGCTGCCTTCACTATCAACTAGGCTTCCTTGACCCGTTTTTCATCTACCATTGGCAACCTCCAAGCCTTACTTAGTCACTCCTGGAGTTCCAAAGTGCCTTGCTTCCAGGAAAAAGCATTCTTGTAGGAAGAGGGTATACCATGCAGGTTTGTCTTATAGGACCTTAAAGATACCATTTTATTAGCCTTTTACTAATTCCCTTCCAGTTTCCAAAAGTTGACTATAACTTTATCCACACTCTTCAAGATCCTCGTGTAACAATTTCCTCTGAGTCAGATTACTTAAACTTTCACTTTGCTAAGGACGTCAAGGTCATTGAGCATCCCTGATCTATCAGTCTTCTTCATAACTACACACATTTTGATTCTTACGCTATAATAATTAAGCACTTATACTACATTACACTATAATAATTAAGGACTATTAATTGGCAAGTATAATTCTAAATGCTTTATGTGTAATTAACTCATTTAAACCTCACAACAACCCTATGAAATAGTTACTAAAACGATTTCTTTTTTATAGATTAAGGAATTCAGGCATAGGGAGATCGGATAACTTACCCATACAGTTACAAGCGGCAGAGCCAAGCTATGAACCCAGGCGGTCTGGCTCCACAGTCTATACTTTCTAGACCACTATGCTCCATAGACTCCCATGATCTTGACTTTTCCCTCTAATCTCAAATAATTTAAAAGTCACCCTCCAATCCGGGCTGGGAATGGTCCACAGATAGGGTTAGTTAGCTTTCGCTATTATGTTTTAATTTTTTACAAGGAGAATATCTTCAAGTATAATTTGTGAATTAAAAAATGTATAAAATGGGGCCGGCTCCGTGGCTGAGTGGTTAAGTTCGCGCGCTCCGCTGCAGCGGCCCAGGGTTCAGATCCTGGGCACTGACATGTCACCGCTCGTCAGGCCACGTTGAGGCGGCGTCCCACATGACACAAGTAGAAGGACCTGCAACTAGGATATACAACTGTGTACCGGGGTGGGGGGGGGGGGGGGGG